GATCCCTGGTACCAATAAAAACGAAAAAGACAAAAAAAAAAAAAAAAAAAAAACCCCCGAACAGAAAAAAGGGTACCGCCCAAATGCCCACGGACCACAATTTACCTTCTCTTGCACCTGCCATCTGTGTACTGTGTGTACTTCCTAACTCTGCCTAGGAGTTTTTGTTTATGCCTCTCACTGATGCATCCTGAAATTCTTTTCCTGAGCTGAGCAAGGACTTACTTGGTGGACCAAGTTGAGGTCCCCATTTCTTCTTCTGGGAACTTCCTGATCCCTGTCTGGTGACAGAGCTTACTCGGCAAGAATGCAGAATCAATATCTACAACAACTTGATAACTCTCAAAGTAGCTTTGGTGACTGAAAGAGGACAGCGCAGACTGAGAGAAAGAGAATTCAGACAACACAAACTAAGCTACAGCAGAGTGAGGCAGGAGATTAGGGCAAGGCCAATTGGCCAGGCACCTGGACGGGACCTGTCAATCACAGAGATCTGGGACACATGCTCAAGAAAACAACTCTCAAGGCCTAACCCTGGGACCAATCAGGCAATGTAATCAGCCCTTTTGGTGTGAAATCAAGCAGGTTTTTGGTAGGACAGTGTTATGGCTTTGTCTAGATGTCCCCCCAAAGTCTCATGCAGCCATAGGTGGGGCTGTTTCAGAGGTGGCTGGATCTAGAGTGTGTGTCGCTAGGGTTAAGGGGGACCGATTACTAAATTAGTTCACTATGGGTTCCACACCACTGAGCCTGACAGCCTACGCAGATTGTAATAGTAGAAGACAGAAGTAGCTACTGTCCCTTGTCACTTGCTTTTTGCTGTCTTCTGCCTGCTAGAGATTGTTCTCCTGGATACCCCACTGCCATGTCATCCTGCCCTGGAGACAGCCAACTATGCACTGAAACCTCTACACACTGTGAGCTAAATAGATCTTTCCTCTTCTAACTTTGAATGTTGGGAATTTTGTCTCAGCAATTGAGAAAAGTAACTAAGACAGCCCAGATCTGCAGTCAGAATGGAATACAAAAGGCACCACCATTAACCTCCTGGCCACTGCACCCTCTCTGGCCCATATTCATTCCACAAAGCATACCTCTTTCCTCCTTTAACAGATGGAAAGCATCACTACCTTTGTGTGTATCTTGTCCAATTCTTTGTCCCATATAACAAGATCCTGGCAAGTGCCCACAGCCCCCCAGAATCCCGTAACACCCAGAGGCAGATATGTGGGTGCTAGAGATGGGAAGAGACAGAGTGGTTACAAACGGCTGTGCAGAACCTTCGGGGAAGGACACACCTCCTTATCATGATTGTGGTGAGGATTCATAGAAGCAAAACTCATTCAGTGACAAACTTTAAACATGTCGCTATAACTAAACACAAATAAAAGGGGAAAAAGACCATTTTCAAAACATAAATAAATGAAAATGCTTACATTTGGTTCAGGTATAAGCTTAATGTTGATACTCATGTTTAAACAGTTTCCTTGATTGAAAACAGTCAAGTTTAACTTAGTTTCTTCCTTTTTTTGGTCTCACTATGCTCTTCAGGCTGGCCCTGAACTGATGGTGGTTCTCCTGCCTCTGCCTCCTGTATGCTGAGATTACAGGTGTGCGCTACCAGGCTCAGCTAATTTAGTTCCTCCTGTATGAGTCCCTCGGGCTGCTGTTACCAAATACCTCTAATTATGTGGCTTAAACCACTGGCCACAGTGATTCTCACAGGACAATGGGTGAGGTCTGTCTGTGAGCAAGGTAACAGCTAGGCAGGTCCCCTTGTGGGCTTGCTTGTGCTGGGTCCTCACACAACACGAGAAGAGCAGGGGAGCAGGATCTCTCTCCTTCCCTCTTCCTGTAAGGCACAGCCCTATCAGATCAGGCACTATGGCTCATTTAACCCAAATTACCCAGCAACCCTTTCTTCAGATGAAGACTCAAGTGTCATACAAATTTGGGGGAGGGGTGTGGCTGAATACTGGGGAGTCATGCGCACCAGGCCTGCAGTGAACTCTCCAGCCTCCTACCGCTCTCAGCAGAATTTATGTGATGTATGCAGCTCACAGATCCTTTGCTTTATCCATAAACTCAATTCTGCTAGATGAGCTTTTGTCCTTAGACTGTGGAGGGATCATTCATCTTTCCAACCCTGGACTGTTTCCATTCTTCCAGCATACTGGAAAGAAAGAACTGGCCAAAACACTCTTACTCCAATACAAAATAATATTCTAGCCCTAACCTAGTCACAAATTACCACAAAGTGTGGCAGACTTTTCTTGGCAAGGAGAAATGTTCTCTTCTTTTCCAGACATGGTCTCACTATATAGCCTAGGCTGGTGGCAAACTCATGGTGATCCTCCTGCTTCAGCCTCCCCAGTGCTGGGATTAAGGCCTGGCAACAAATGCTCTTTGCAAAAGCACTACCTCAGCCCTGCAGCATGACAGTGGCTCACATTGAGGCTGTGACCAAACCTGCATCAGAAATGCCTTGGTAGAGCCTCAGTTCCCTGAGTCCCTGGGGTGGCATTACCCGACCGTCGGTCCAGCCTCACAACAGTAGGACTTGGGAAGCCTGCAGGCTCTTGGGTCTGGGAGTCAGGCTGACATCTTATTTGCTGCAGCTTTGAATTCTGGTGCTAAGGACGTGGGATGCTGCCAGAGTCAAATGGATCCTATGCTGGCCGTTCTACTTCCCTTACTTCCCGGCACAGGATCTACCCAACATCCAGAGAAGACAGTCAGCAATTATAGCAGTGCCCATCCTGTGTGGCTTCGTTGCAGAGGGCAATTCGGGCCACAGCTTCCCACCATGACCTCAACACTGCTGCCCTGAATATCCGACGTCACAGGCAGCACAGGTCATGGAAAGTGGCTGAAGTAAGAGCCCTGAAGGGGAGGCCTCCCAGGGTGGAGTTCTTCGAGGGGGAAGATGACAGAGCCGGGGGTCCTGCAGCTGAGGCAGACCTCCCACTGCCCCACTCTGGGTCCCTTTCTGAGACAGGGTTTCGTTATGCAGCCCAGGCTGGCATCGGGCGAACGTCGGGAAGATTGGGTTGGTAGAAGGCACAGAATAGAGGGATCCTGGAAGCAGCCTGTCTGTCCCTCAGCAAAGGGATGGATAAAGAAAGTGTGTTCACCCATCAGGAAGCACTGCTCTGCATACAGAAGGGTAACTTGAATCATTTGTAAGAAAATGGACATAGCTTGAGACCACAATGTCAAGTGAAATCAGTCAACACACAAGCTTAACTATCACGTGGTTCCTCTTATATGAGAGGCCCAAAGTATAAATAGACTGAAAAGAAAAATAAAAGATGCCAGGAAACAGGGAAGATAGATCTTTGGCAAAAAGGAAGGGGAACAAAGGAGGAGGGAAGGAGGAGAGGGACATAAAAGTAACTCAAATGTGTTAAACCAGTTGTGGTGGGGCATGCCTGTCATCTCAGCACTCAGGGGACTAAGGCAGGAGATCAGCCTGGGCTACATAGTTTAAGGTCACCCTAAACTACATAGCAAGATCCTGTCTCAGAAAACCTAAAAACCAAAGCGAAACAACAAACTTTGTGGGGTTTTGTTTGTTTTCAGACAAGGTCTTGCTATATAGTCCAGGCTGGCCTCGAACTTGTGCAGATCCTCCTGCCTCAGTCTCCCAAATACTTGTGTCCTATCTTAAAGACCTGAGAACACATCTGTCCACTCAGCCAGCATGTGGCCTTGACATTCATGTGTTGTAAACATGCCCTGCAAGAGAAGAGCAGTTTCTGGACCCTGTGCTGTACTAACCGCCCACTTTCCTGGGGCTGATGGGCACAGATTATTAAGGCTCAGAACCACTCCCCTACCACATCCTGATGGGCAGTGGGCCAGTCACTCTGCTCACATAGCCTCCCCTGGAGGGCAATGCGAGTCTGTCTGTCTCTTTGTGAAAAGGTGACCAGACTTTCCTGGTGGGCCCGACCTGTGACCCAACTACAATCAGAGCTGGACACCTCCACCTCCTGCCCTGTGCTCAGTTTCAAAGTCAGGTGTCCACCAGCCCTCGCAGAGTCATGCGGCCCTTTCTAGTGCAGGTGTCCTCCACCAATGGCACAGTGGCCATTCGAGTGCTTGGCAGGGACTCTGTTATCCTCCCTGGGGGTAGGACAGGCATGTCTACTGTCCCACCTCTAAGTCACAGTGGAGCTCAAAGTTGCCCATGTGGTCCTCTTGCGTCACCCTAAACCTGCTTTTCCTTATCCAAACACGCATGTGTGCATGTAACTCTGCACACAGACACCTATATCTGCACTTGCACTAGTGTGGGGCAGGATTCAGTATTTATCTCACTCTTCTAGGAGCGTATGCAGTTAAAGAATGACTCTACAAAATAGGAGAAAATGCAGCAAAGATCCTAACCATGCATAATGAACAATCTTTGAATAACCGAGCTTATAGTTATAATTTTGTCTTATGGAGACATAACTATTGTTGCAATGAAGTTCCTTTAATTATATCAGCACTGTATCATTTTGAAAGAGCTACAAGGAGGCATACACACTGTTTAAGGAATGGGGGAACTCTCAGGGACCATGCTATGGGTGGTTTTCTTTTTCCATATATTCATTGTCTCTCTTTTTTCTTTTCTTCTTTCTTTCTTTCTTTTTTTTTTTTTGGTCTTTTTGAGACAAGGTCTCTCTATGCAGTTCAGGCTGACCTTGAGTTCACTCTGTAGCCCAGGCTAGTCTGGAACGTGCAACCATCCTCCTGTCTCAGCCTCCCCAGCGCTGGGATCACAGGCATGAGCCACCATGCCTGGCTTTTTTTTTTTCTTTAAGACAGTCCCACTCTGTATCCCTGGATGGCCTCAAATTTATGGTGATCCTTCCGCTTCAGCTTCCCAGGTACTGAGATTACAGGCATGTTTTCCAACACACACAGCTTGTATTTTCTGTTTGTTAAAATCACCACAAATTCCTTAAAATAAGATGTGTCCCCAGCTCCAAAAAAGTAGACCCCCCTCATACCTTGTTGAGTTTGCCTAGTGAAGATATGAGATCTGCCCATTCGCTGGAGGACTCAAAATTTCGTAAAGCCTTTTCAATCCCTGAAGAGTAACTTCTGTATCTGTAGTCATTTAACAGGTCCTGTTCTTCGGGATCCATCTTACATTCTCACAGTGCAGAAAGTATCTGAAACTGTGAAGCCAACCATCAGCAAATAAGGGACACAAATCCTCCCCAGCCCATAGCTGCCCACTGCCCGGTGGTAGCTTTGATTACAGATGGCCCGTATGCCACAGGGCATTTAAAAAAAACCCAAGGACAACATCTTGATCTGAATGGTCTACTCAGCAAGTCAATCCTCTACAATTAACCTAGGAAACTGGAAAAATCCTATCAGATGATTGGTTGTGTGTGTGGGGCAACCATTAGAAAAAACAAAAACCTGTAACGCTAGCACTTTGGGAGGCTGAGGCAGGAGGATCCCAAATTTAAGCCCAACCTAGGCAATTTAGCAAGAACCCACAGCAAAAAAATAAATAAGTAATGGGGCAGAGGAAGTGTGGTTCGGTGTGAAGGTCTCAACTCTCTGTATTACAAAATGAAACAGAACAACCCTAAGGAGAAGTTGGTATACCCAAGCAGTTTGTAGCTGTTCTGTGTTACCCTCACCCCAAGGAATGTCTGGGCCCCAAATCCAGCCTAACAGCTGCAGCACCCCAGGGCTCCAGTCTGTTTAAGTGCTAAGCACTGCAAAGTGAGGCTGACTGGAATCACAGTCTCAGGAATGCGTGATCTTGATCACTGAGGCACATACGGGGACTGGAGTGGATAGGATGAAGTCACAGACCTACTTGGGCAAGGACAGAATGAGGAAGCCCAACACACCTGGCAGAGGACTCCTCCGTGTGCCGTGGTGTGGGTGGCTGGCATTACCAGGAAGAGCTGTGTAGAGATAAGGTGTGTATATAGGGGGAGGAGTGGTGGACATGCCACAGGGCCAAGCAGGGAGCCCAAAGAGTACTTCAATGTCGTCAGTGGCCACAGAAACAAAGTACTGGTTAGGGAAATGGCACAGGGAAAACTGGGTGTGGTGGCGCACACCTGTGATCCCAGCACCGAAGAGGCTGAGGCAGGAGGCTTGCATGGATTACACAGTGAGTTCAAGACCGGTTTGAGATACATGGTGAGACCCTAAGAAAAAGATGTTTTTAACTAATAAAAAACAAAAACAAAAACAAAAACACCAAAACCAAAACTCAGCATAGGTGAGAATTTGGAAATAGTCATTTAGGCAAATATGAGGTATCAGCAGGCTATGTCAGTCTTCTTTGTGGCTTGGTATAAAGTTCATTTATGCACACATTTATCTCAGGCAAGAAACAGGAGTCCAGGGCTGGGTATTTGGCTCAGCGGCTTAAGTGCCTGCCTTGCAAGCTTGCAGCCGTGAGTTCGATCCTCGGTACCGCTTAAAAAAAAAAAAAAAAAAGAAACAAAGAAAGAAACAGGAGTCCTAGGAGAGGAGGCTATCTAGAATCACACCATTCAGAAAATTGCCTTGGTCCCTCACCAGCATTTGGCAGAACCCGGATTCGGGGTCTTCTTGGTAAGAAGCTCCATTATATGAGTGGGAAAAGGGGTACTCTAGGCTTTCTGGAGCTCTTTCCCTGGCGCACCCGCCTCTATCCAGGACAGCTCAGGAGGATTCTCTGCTAAACTGAGCTCTCCAGACAATTCCAAGCAAAGCAGAGTGGTTGTTTAAACAAGGGGAGCCCACTGGATCTGTTCACCAGCACACTGGAAATGGAATCGCAGGACCTCGCCTTAGCTATGCATCATTTCCTAGCAAACTTATCTGCCAGACCAGAGCAGCTCCCTGAAAACAGCTTCCATGCAGGAACTAGGGGGTCACAAACTACAAAGAGCCGCCCCGCCAAGGCAGCAACCCCCAGGTGAGGTTCTTGGGCCGCAGCACATAAACACTCGCCACTTGAGGCCTGTTGGAAACGGCGGGACACAATATTCTGAATTTGGCTTTTTAGAGTGGTTTATAAATTACAATAGAAAAATAATTAAGGCTGTCAGTTAAGAGCAGGCTTTCAGGGTGGGAGTGTCCCCAACACTTTACCTCCCCCACAAAAAAAGGAGTCTAAAAGGTGTCCCTGGGTGTGGCGTGGCTGTCCTCAAGGAAGCGCAGCTAAGACAGAGGGACCCGCAGGCCAGGCCAGGCCAGGCCAGGCGCAGGACCAGGCCGGCGGGGAACGCGCACCGGACTCTGAGCCCCGCTCCAGAGACTGTCGGGGACGCGGGGTCCTTGGCCCCAGGAAGCCCTGGGCTCCCAAAAAATCTCGCGGGCGGACAGAGACAGCCTCCAAACCCGCCGCAGAGAAGACCCTACACCTGCCAGGCCAAAGCCACGCGTCCTCCTCCTCCGCCGCCGCCGCCGCCGCCGGGCGCCAGAGAGCTGGAGGCCACGCGCCCGGGGGAGAGACGCCGCGTGCGGACCCGGGGAGGGGACGCCGGACCGGGGACCGGGGTTTTGGGTATGAGCGCCGGCCGGCAGGCGCGGCCACGACTTACCCCGGCGACCGCGGTGCCTGAGGGTTCCCTCACGTGCGGCGCGGCGGTGCCTGAAGGCTGCAGGGAAACCAGCCTGAGGGGGGCTATGACGAAGGGGGCGACCGCAAAGGCAGCGCGGCGCCGGAGCCCCAGCGACTGCCGTTTCGGGGGCGGGGCCTCAGGGCGGGGCCTCGTCTCCTGGAAGCAGGAGCGCAGCGAGGCCGTGGCCGGCTTTAGAGCGCAGGGGTGGGGCGGAGGGCGGGACCTCCACTAGTGGGCGGGGCTTCGCGAAGCCAGTGTTCGTCAGCGCGAATGGACTCGGAGCCCGAGAAGTGGGCGTCTCATGGCGACAGAGCTACGCCGAGGTGGCGCGAAGCCGTCTGCGCCGAAGGGAATTTAGGTCAGTGCCACGAAGAACCGCCCACCCTCCTACAGTCATCCGCGTTACCGCGGAGGAGACCCCCTAAGGCCCAAGAAATGTGCCCGGCTTACCGCATTTTTCCATGGGGCCCCACCGAAACTGTGCCCGCGGGAGGAGCAAGAGGACGAAGCCTTCCGGGCTGGGGCGACGGCAGGCTGGGGACCCTGGTTAAAGTGAACACGCGCCCGCAGGCTCAGCTTTTCCTAAAGGGCCTGTGATGTCGATCCTCTCTGAGCTCCTTATGCAGGTATAGGGTCAGGATGGAGGACTTGATGTCAGCTCCAGGGACTGTTGTTTCCAGGCCCGTCTTCAGCTTTTGCTGACCCACCGAGCCTGGGCTGATAGCTGCTGGCCCGGCAAGAAGCGCCCTGGGCATGGGCCCTAGCCTGGCTGCACCAGCGGCGCTGCCCGTCAGCTCAGACAGTGCCAAGGGTCAAGGTCGGAACTTCTGCGGTTGCCTCTCCCGAAGCCCCCAGTCTCCCAGAGAATTTTTAGATCTGGGTATCTCTGAGGTTAGGCCTTGTGGGTGAGGAGACGGGGAGGAAGAATGTTTGGCAACTGTGCGTGTGCGTGTGTGTCTGGAAAAGGGTGCATAGTTTTATCAGATTCCAAAGTGGACCAATCGCCTCTACCAAAACACCATGAATAATTTAATCGTTGGGACCCCTATCCTGGCCAGGCTGCTGACTTGGATTCTGTTTCCACTTGGCATATACCAAGTGCCCCAGATGTAGATCTTTATAATGATCAGGTCAGGAAAGGTCTTAAAATAGAAGCAGAGGAAAACAAAAAGATTGAGCCACACGTAGCAGGGCAAAAACAGTTTTATTTCATGAAAATCGATTTCCTAATAAAGAGGTGATAAACTCTGTTTTTACATAGCTGGCAGGAAAAAAATGCAAAAGTTTGTCAAACAAGTGACTCTTGAAGTTTTCAAGTCTCAACAACTCACCGTGCCCTGAACTAACAGAGATGGAAGAGCCACTTAGCACTCTACATGCTGGTGTATGTTTATAATTCCAGCACTTGTGGAGGCTGAGGCAGGAGGATCACAAGTTTGAATTCAGCCTGGACAACTTAGCAAGAACCTGTCTCATAATAAAGACCTGGGGGTGGTGCTCAGTGGTGAAGTGCTTAGCAGTTAAATCTTCAGTACTAAGAATAAAAGGATAAAATCTACTTAGCTGGGAAAAAAAAAAAAAAGATAAAATCACCTTAGCTATCTGTGCTCATCTGTTAAAGACCCATAAGGGAAATGGGTTCCTTACACAGTAATAAACTACAGCATTTCAAATTTAATATAAGCCCCAACATTAATCCTTTACCCTCTTGACAATAAAGAAATTATATGCCCAAGCCCACCATGTTTACTACACAAGCATCAATCCAGAAAAACATCACAGAAAAGCTGATGTAGAAGGGACTACAGGTGCCATCTGAGACCTAAAAATATATAGCCTACACGATGATCCTTTAAAATACATTGCATTTAAACCATACTTGAAGCTGGGCATAGTGGAACATAACTGAGATCCCAGCTACACAAGAGGCTGAAGCAGAATTGCAAGTTGGCAGCCAGCCTGAGCAATTTAGCAAATTAGTGAGAACCTGCTTCAAAATAAGAGGACTGGGGTATAGCCACCTGATTCAATCACCAGCAACAAAAAACAAAAGTCATACTTTGCTTCTGTATGGAAGAATTTACCCAGGCTAACTTGGGGAATCTAGTGACCAGATAGCTTACAAATCACCTAGATTAAATGCATCAGCTCTATTACTTTTGGAACCAGGAATCAAATTCACAACTGCGTGCTTGCAAGGCAGGCACTTATGCCGCTGAGCTAAATGCCAGCCCTGGACCCTATTACTTTCTATACCAAGAGTTACCCATGGTCTTCACAGTCTTAGCAGAAGTAGATGTACCCAGCACCAGGTGCCAAAGAACTCTGCAGACAGTTCTAGGTGTCGGCCCAGCTCTTAACCCTTAGATTTGTGATCTTGAACAAGTTAATTAAACTCTGAGCCTGTATTTCTTCATTTGAAAAATGATAGTGATACCAACCTCAAAGGAGTATTGTGAGAATTAGGTAAAACCATGTTAGGGACAGCAAACATGACATATATCCCAGGATGCCACTGGTTCTTGATTCATGATTTTGCTTTCCTTTTGATTCATAGTATTACCTATTATTATTTTCTCTACAGTATACTATGAAGCATGTTAATGAATTCTGTTGGTTAGATTCATTTTTGCTTAAGCATTAACCACTCAATTTAACCATCTTTTCTGTCCTGGAACCACATGGCTAATACCCACTATCGGGTCCTGACCTAGATCCTGGATCTCCCAAACAAGTGTACGGCGGAGGGGTTTAAATAAAATGAGACAAACTATATGATTTTAGGACTGCAGGAGGGTCAAAACCCTTTAGCTGAGATTGAGACTTCGAGGGCTAAGACAGACTCCTCTGGACCGCCCACTTTACTAGGTCCAACGAGGGTTGGGAGAACTGAGGCAAGCGCAGGCAATGAGCAGGACCTTTGGAGTCACTTTAAGGACGTCTCCAAGTAATGAGTCAAGTCAATTCAGTAGAACTAGCTTACCGTGAGACATGGTAGGAGTGAGACTGGGAATAATTCCTGCAGCTGCATTCTCTATCTACTTAATTGATGTTTGAGCCAAGCGTCTACAGCTGTGGCCTTATCTTGCCCTTTGAGGTGTCTCTGGCCTCACAGGCCACTACAGGCCTCAGCCAGGACCAGTGACTCATAGAGGTTCACTTACTATGAATCAGCTCCCATGGGCAGGCAAGGGGCGGAGGACTAGGACAGACTCACAGATAAACAGGAAGCCAATTGGTTAAATTTAAATCCTGCTCAGAGCCACTGCATAGTGATCTTCAACAACCCACAGTTTAAGAAGGAGGGGTTTATTTTGGTTGACAGTTTTGGGGTTTTTTTTTGTACTGGGATCAAACTCATGACCATGCACTTGCAAGGCAGGTGTCAATGCCGCTGAGCTAAATCCCCTGGTTGACAGTTTTTAGTTTCCTGTCCATGGCCAGCTGGCACCAAGGCAGAAAGAGCTTAGTGGAGGAGAGCTGCTCACCCCATGGCTGCCAGGAAGCAAGAGAAGGGAGGACCAGGGAGGGAGGTACAGTATAGTACAGTGCAACATATTTTTCAGGCCACACCCCTGACTGACCATGTCCTGGGAGCCCAGGACTCACCTCTTCTAATCAGACCCAGCCTCTTAACAGCATATTCAGGTACTAATCTATTAGTCTGTTAATCCACAGATAAGAGCAGCACCCCATGATCCACTCATCTTCCAAAGCTCCACTCCAAACACATATGACCTTGGGGGACATTCTAGATTGAAGTCTTAACGTGGGGGAGGCTTCCCTTTGGTCGGCCTCCTGTGGCTGTGGCCAGGCTCCTTCTGCTCCACAATGGATGGTACTGATCACTCTCAGTACTGGCTCTGACTCAGTCCAGCCAGTCCTTTCCTTATGTACCTTCTAAGTGCGTTAAATGATGATCCAAAAGTGTCAAGGGGAGATTGATTGGCTACAGACCAATGAGGAAATAGAAAAAGGGTAGGTGGTGACTTCCTGTGGCTGATTTCCGTCCCTGACATAAGTAAAGCTTGCAACCCACTCCAATCCCCCAGTCAGTGGATGCCATCAGCAAGACTCGGAGACTGGCTGCAAGGGAGACCAGACTGTGACAGTCGGGAAACGTCCAGAAGCCATTACAATGTCATAGGAGCTGTGGCCTGAGCTGAATAGGGGCTGAAGTCAGGCAAGATGACGCGAGCTGGTAATCCCAGCACTCTGGGAGGCTGAGGCAGGAGGATCAAAGGTTGGAGCCCAGCCCAAACAATTTAGTGATTTAGCAAGACCCTGTCTCAAAACAACAACAAGGACTGGGGCCGTAGCTCAGAGAGAAAACTCCCAGGAATGCAGAAAAGGGCCGGGGTGGGGCTGGAAGGAAGCTGTGTGCAGTCCAGGTGGGGTCCCACCTTCTCCCCCACTCAACTGGAGGGAAAGTGACATGAAGGTGACAAATAAATTGACCTTGGAGGTGTTGTGGAGGACAGAGAAGTAAGACAGCTGCTTCCTGGGAGGTACCAGAAGAGACAGCATTGCCTGCTTGGTGCCGGTCCGAAATAAGTTAAGCTCTGAGCATTTCCAGGAAGAGAAATGCAGTGTCTCCTGGGTCCGAGAGGCTGTGTTGGGAGACAGGCTGCAGCTGTGCTGTGCTCGCCAGCATGCTGCCGGTGCTCAGTCTGTGCTGTGAGCCGCTTTGACAGACTCAGTGACTCTGGTTAATTAGCAATTTTCCCTCCATTGCATTCTTTCCATTGTGCATCTGCTGCGTTTCTGTAGTCCTGTTTGGTAAGGTATGTGCCTGTTCAAGTCCCAACTCCCTGACAAACTCATTCAAGGACATTTCTTCTCTTTCATAAAATCTTCTGAATAGCTAACTTATGGAAGCAGCCTGAGTGTCCATCAGTGGATGAACTGGTTAAAAAAATGTGGCACGTACACACCCTTGGCTTACTATTCTGTCATGAAGAAGGATAAACTCGAGTCATTTGTAGAAAAATGGAGGCACCTGAAGACCATAATGTTAGGTGAAATAACTCGTCCAGAGACACAAGTTTAAATATCGCATGGTTTCTCTTGTATGAGAAACCCAAAGTATAAATAAAAGAGCAAAATGAAAGATAGATAATAAGCAGAGAAATAGGTATTTTGCAGTAAGGAATGGGACCAAGAGATGGAGGGAGAGAAGGAAAGGGGAAGGAAGAAGAATTTAATGTGTTGGGCCGGGGATGTACCTCAGTGACACAGTGCCTGCCTGGCATGTGTGAGGTCTTGAGTTTGATTCCCTGTACAAAAACAAAAAAAGAGGGAGAGAGATTCAGGTGTGTCATGTACATGGAGAAACTCCTCATGATGAACATAATCATTTTGTACTGCAGACAGGGCTAATAAAAATAAAAATTGAAAATAAAATGAAGATAATCCTTTTGTCCCCAAGTCTCTATATAACTGGAACACAGGTGGCCTGGTCCTCAAAGCAATCCCATTTGAAGGCTGAGAATGTGGACTGGCTTGTTGTCATGGAGACATAAAGGTGCTCAGGGGTCCTGTGAAGAATTGTCCTGGGTGGAACAGGTCCAGGAGCAGACACTGTGGACGTGGCAGGAGCCAGATGGCCAGCATTGCCAAGGTACCCAGAAGACGAAAGGGGTGACAAATGGCTTGGGTAGAACTGCAGACCCCAAAAGCCATTAAAAACCCAGTACAGGGCTGGGGATTTAGCTCAGCAGCATAAGCACCTGCCTTGCAAGCAGGCGGTCGTGAGTTCGATCCCTGGTACCGGTAAAAATGAAAAAGACCAAAAAAAAAAAAAAAAAACAAAAAAAAACCCAGTACAGAAGAAATCATGTCCCGACAGCAACAACAAAACCAGCTCTCCTGAGTCCGGTAAGCTCCCCTGGTTAAATTAAATGCTACAGGGATCCATTGGTTTGGGCTGAGCCTCTGCACTGTGGGCCAAACCAAGATGGCGCCACTCATACTAATGAACCTCATTGTCAAAGCAAAGCTATGTCTAATCAACCCAGAAATCAGGAATGAAATAATAGCCAAACCTCTAACCACCTGGAGTTAGCCAAGCCATCTACTTGAACCTTTACAAGAAACTAACTTTGAAACAACCAATCCGCTCTTATCTGTTTCAGTTTCCTTATGAATCTAACCTCCTGTGCTTGGCTCCTCAGAACACCCATGCCATTTGATAGAATAAAGAGTCACCCCATTCCAGAATTGCATATAAAAGCCTATGAAGATTTTTAATGTTATAATTTTCTTGTCTTCTGACAGAAACAATAAAAATAGAATTAAGATCAGCACTTGAAAGGCTGAGGCAGCAGGATCACCATGAGTTAGAGATCAAACCTCTCAAAACACCCTGTGTTCTTTTTCAGTACCGCCCCAGGTCAGGCAGCACCAGTATTTCCTGAGAATTTGTCAGAAATGCCAATTTCAGGTCCTACTGGATCAGAAACCTTGGGGTGGGAAGCAGCAATCTTCTTTCTTTACTCCAGGGATTAAAACTGGAGCTTTCACAATTAGCTACAGCCCCAACCCATTTGTAATTTTTTTTTTTGAGACAGAATCTTGATAAATTGCCAAGTCATCCACACTAGGCTCAAACTTTCTATCTTCCTGCCTCACCCTCCCAGAATGCTGGGATTCCAATCGTGCGCCATCATGATGGGCTAGCAGTTTGTTTCAGTGAGCCTGTCAGGTGGTCAGAAGCCACTAAAATTCGATATGCCCGTGGGTCCTTTTCCCTCTGAGCTGGGGCACAGCAAAACCATTCAGCTGCAGATCTTGGGACTGAACAGTCTTTTCCTGGGTGGGCGTTCATGCTTTCTCCACACAGAAAGAGAGTCCAACTCCAGCGTCAGAATGCATTTATTCCTCCCACTGACATTTGTTAGGCACCAAGCTCCAGGAAGGGATGCAGAGGGGGCTCAGACACAGTGTGCTAGTGTCCCGCTCCGAGATCACTGTTTCAGTTGTGTGTTGTAAACATGACTATGGAAGAAGGATGCAGCCCTGCAGCAGACGTTCACCAGTTCTGCACCACTTTGTCACAGATGAACTGGCCGTGGGGCTCAGTGGCATCTGGAGGGAGGAGGGCCAAATAGACAGGGGTCTCCACCCCCTGCTCCAGGCTCCTGGAGCCCTGGTCCCCGGCTGTGTCCCCGGGGCAGCAGGCATTCAGCAGAATCCTGTCAGCCTTTCTCTTCTCATCTAGCTGCCGGGCTATGATTCTCGACAAGACTGTGACCCCCAACTTGGACACCCCATAAGCTGAGTCGGGCCAGCCTTCCCTCTCGTGCACCTCGTTTTTCACATCCTCCACAAACTTCTTCATGAGGTCCACCAAGTCCCCCTCCGTGAGCGTGTTACACCGGAAGCGTTCCTGCAGGGCTTCGCCGCAGTCCTCAAGAGCTCTGAAGCCCTGGGAACTACTGATGTTCACCACTCTCCCTAAAACAGCAGAGAGAGAGACAGGTCATGTTGTGGAGGATTCCTGGGCTGAACGTGACATGTGATGGAAAAGTACAGTGAAAAATTTAAAATAAATTTTAAAAAAGAATTGATATAGTAAAGGACACCTTGCCATCAATCCCCTTCAGAATTCTTTCCCTCATTTCCAACACTGATCCCACTGCGGTGGCCCTTTCTGAAGCAGCTCTGGAAGTCCTCTTTCCTGAGTATCTTTATTTGTGCTGTTGGTGCAGCAGGTTTAGATTTTACCAAAAGTTCACAGCAAAGTCAGGTTTAGCGGGGTCTCAGAAAACCAGTGAGTTGAATTTGGAGCAATGTGGGGAGCTCTTTATTATGCCAGCAGGCCCAGAGGAGTTGAGTACCCCAAAGTATAAAACCCAGATCTGGGTTAGAGAAGTTGTTAAATAGAGTTTGTGGTGAGAAAGGGCAGGTCAAACAAAGGCAGTTATTTAAAGGTGATGGTTTACAACTTTACCCATCTGGTTGGGGAGCCAGCCTCCCCAGGGGGCTGCCAAGCTGAGGACAGGGGGGAGGAAAGAGGGGTGACAGAGAGTGGGGTAGCAGGGGCTGTGATGCAAGGGAGGGGGAGCACAGCAGGATGCAGCTGTGGTGGTATCTTATGGTTAAAGACAGAACCAGGTAAGGATATCACTTGATCTGAGGAGCGGGGTTCAGGGTTGAGCCCTTGTTGGGGGGTCCCCAGTGTGGTTTATTTTTCTGTTTCACTACCTTGGCTGACTCTATGTCGTGAGTGGATTCAAAACATTTCTCTTTCATGGTCATTTTGACTCTGGACATGTTTTTATGGGTCTGCTTTCCGTCACATGGCACTCAGAGGCAGCATTTACCCTGTGTTTGATCAAACCTCATAAAGGTCCTCATGACAGAGGACTTCCGGAAAGTGGAAAGAATATTGGGATGAGTGTGTTCCAGTGAGGCAGAGAATTTTGAAGAGAATTAATGGTAATGTGCCAGTTACTATAACATATATTTTAAATTTAAATATACATCATCTATTTTGATCAACCCTGGTACCAAACACACAACTGAGTCAGGATGTAAGCTTGATAGCTGATAAAAAAAAATAGCCAGGTGTGGTGGTGCACGCCTGTAATCCCAGCACTCGGCAGGCTGAGGCAGGAGGGTCGCTTTGAGTTTGAGATTAGTTTAGGCTACAGCTATTAGTTTAGTCATAGTTCAAGGCCAGCCTGAACTGCAGAGTGACACTGTCTCAAAAGACCAAAACAAAAAGCAAAACAAAAGGTGACACTAGAAAGCATAAAACCTGCAAGAGTGGGATTTGAGGTTTGGGGAGGTGCTGAGCTCCCCAGGGGTACCTGGGGGAAACCGCAGTCTGAAGGGGAGTCGTCCCCAGGCGGGTTTATAAACCCCCAAATCCATTCCAGGTGCTGTGCTCCTACCTTTCTGGGGACCCGGGCTCCTTCCATCCCCCAAGGGCCCCGGGAGCTAATCCAGCACCAGGTGTCACACGGGGATGACCTTTGTCGGTCCGCAGTGCTGGCTGCTTCCCCACATCGTGGACTGGATCGATTTTCTAGTCTCTTAGCTGACAGTGAACAAGCACTCAGATGATCTGACTGTTCACCTCGCCAGTGTGTGTGGGGCTATTTTCTCACGCTCTTCAGAAACACTGACTGCATCCAACAGGATCCCGGGTTTGACTTCATTTTCTGAATGCCTTTGCAGAAAAGGCACACGGTTTGGGGCGCACTCGTGCTCTTAACACCCTCAAGGGCTCAATCCCACTTGCAGAGAGCCTGGCTCGCTGGGTCTGTCCAGGGAAGCCACACCTCACTTATCTCTCCCCAACAGCGACCTTCCGCAGGTCTGTCCTTTCCTTTTCCATAGAAACTCGCACTCCTTTCCTGGCTCTTACTTTTGACCAATTTGCAAACTAGAGAGAAGTCGCAAAAAGAGTTCAATAAACACCGTCTAAACTCCCCCACCCCGGCTAGCAGTTCACCGCATTCGCTTTCTCCCTCCTGTCTCTAAGTTGCTTATGAAACTTAACACGAGGTAAATGCTGTGTAAACAGCTGGTAAACAGCCAGGAAAACAGCCTGCGGCGCTGGCTCGGGTGTAATCAGTCCGCAGCTGCGGAAGCAGGGGACACAGGTGGACTGCATTTGGGGACAAGACTAGTCCCATGTGGTCACCTGGTGTGCTGTCATCCCTGGACGACACGATTATCTCACGTTATTCAAATGTCCTCGCTTTTCCCGATAATATTCCTACAGTTTTTGCTTGTTTTAATGAGCATTCCACTCAGGCTGAGCAGGGCGGCAGATACCCCACCAACACACCCCTCTTCCGGGTCGGTGACCTACCGGTTCAACCTCATAGAAAGAGCGGGCAAGTAGCTCCCTCTAGTGGCAGGCCTTGAGCACACAAACAAACCAATTTTTTTTTTTTTTCAAGTGTTTTGTTTTGAGACAGGATCTTGCTTTATACTTTAGACTGGCCTCGAACTCACAGTGATTCTCCTGCCTAATTTTCCACAATGCTGAGATTATCAGCATATGCCAATATGCCTGGATCTTTAATGTTTTAAAGCTAAACAGCCAGGCAGGTGGTCTGCATGCCTGCAATCCCAATACTGGGGAGGCTGAGACAGGAGGGTCACTGTGAGTTTGAGGCCAGCCTGGACTACAAAGTGATGTCAAGGCCATCCTGAACTGTATAATGAAGCCCTATCTCAAAAGACAGTAAATAAATAAATAAATTTTAAAAAGCTAAACAAAGACAAATTAAAATTAATGATATTCAGTATTTTGCCCCTTAGGTAAACATGAGATTTATTGAAAAGTAATAAATAGGGGCTGGGGATTTAGCTCAGTGGCATAAGCATCTGCCTTGCAAGCAGGCAGTCGTGAGTTCGATCCCTGGTACCGATAAAAAAGACAAAAAAAAAGTAATAAATAACTACACATGGTGACACACACCTGTAACCTGGCTGAGGCAGACAGATCTCAAATTCAAGATTAGTCTGGCCAGTTTAGCTACTTAGTGAGACTCTGACTCAAAACTAAAAAAACCTCAAAACTAAAAAAAAAAAGGTCTAGAGATGTAGGTCTGTGTGAAAGTCCTGGGTTCAATCTCCAGCACATGCACACGTGCGCGCGCACACACACATACACAAAGACAAAAGTCACAGTTATTCTGTGTGTGTGTTAAACTGGAGATTCCCGTCTGGAGGTTAGGTTATGGAACTGACCAAGAACAATGAGTTGATCCCCAAATCCCGTCTTCTTAAAGCCCCTCATGAGCACCCCATGAGTTTTAGTTTGTTGTCCTTGTGTCTCTAGATACTGGAATCTGTTTGAGCATCGAACAAAGAATCCGGGAGAGTTTCCCAATCTGCCGCCACCTGCCGTGCGCTGCTCTTTGGGCCTCGATTCCCTCTCTGTAACATGGAGCTCTAGCAGTGCAAGGCTTTGGCAGGATTGTGCAGCTCTCATGAAATATTTGGGGGGCACCGGGCTTTGAATCCAGGGCCTTTGTACAAAGCTGTATCTCTCCCTTCCCTTTTGAGATAGGACCTCCCTAAATTGCTAAGTTGTTCAGGCTGAGCTCAAGCTTTTGATGCTCCTGCCTCGGCCTCTTAGAGTGTTGCTGGCTCTCAAACTCTATGATTATAAAACTCATCAGGAAGAGAAGTTCCTGATAAGCTGGTAAAGGCATCTCTATAATAGAGTACTATATAGCCAAAAAGGGAACAGGAAATGTTTCTGTTCTCATCTAGACAGACACCCATGTGGGGAATGAAGAAGAAACAAACAAACAAGAAAACAGCATCAGGCATGTTAGTACACACCTGTTGTCTCAGCTAATCAGGAGGCTGAGGCAGAAGGACTGCCCAGGCCCAGGAGGTCAGTTTGAAGTCGCCAGGCCAACACAGCATAATCTCATTCCAAAACAAAAAATTCGAACAAATAAACAAAGTGGCAAACACTGCACCAAACCTCACTTTCTGTATAAAGAAAGAAAGGCTTACAAGTGTGCATTTGTTTGCTGAGTTTTTAGGTACAAACTCTGTTCCCTTGGCCCTGGGACTCAGGAGCTCTGTGCACCTGGCCACAGGCCTCCTCCGCCCAGCACTCACGACTCCCTCATGGACCTCTTCTGCCCCATAGAGCCAGAGCCCAGAGCCGACCGGATGAGCAGTGGGGAAGATGAGGGTGGCTCTTACTAGACACCTTTTTAGACTTAAAAACTCTTGCTTGAAAAGGTTTCTGGGGGCTGGGGATTTAGCTCAGCAGCATAAACACCTGCCTTGCAAGCAGGTGGTCATGAATTCAATCCCCGGTACTGATAAAAAATAAAAAAATAATAATAAAAAAGAAAAGGTTTCTGTACTCAGAATGTTACATCAAAACATCATATTTCTTGATGGTGCATACTGTAATTCCAGCACTCTGGGAGGCTGAAGCAGAAGGACCGAAAGCGTAAGCCTGGACAATTAAGCAAGACCCTGCCTCAAAGTGGAAAAAGGCTGGGAATGTAGCTCAGAGCAAAGATTCTGGGTTCAATCTCCAGTACTGGAAAAAAAAAGAAGAAGCACCCAGTCATGGCCATGGTGGCAAATACCAGCACAAGGGAGGCTGAGGCAAGAGGATCACTGTGAGTTTAAGGCCAGCCTGTGCAACATAGCAAGACCCTGTCTCAACCAAACCAAACCAAACCAAACCAAACCAAATCAAACCAAACCAAATGCCTCTTTCAGATTTTCCGAGAAGAATGTAGACAAAGTCTCTGCCAGCATGGATGCCATCGGGGTTCCGAGGAGCTGGGTGGGGCCATTCCTGGAGAACTGGAGAAGCACTCGCCAAGGCTAATGAGAGCCAAAGGCCTCCCCAGACTCCCACATCCTGTCCTCGGGGCCCGCGGTCTGGAGGTAGAACCACAATTCACGTGAGGCTCCAGACATGAGGTAAAAAACAAAGCCATTTTCGGTTTTCTCCCTTAACAGGGAAGAAGTCTTGCTCTGGGATTCACATACACAGCCCCATCCTTCTCCCCGAGCCGCACAGGGTGCTGGTCACCCCCAGACTCACCGTGTGGCTTCACGATGGGCAGTAACTCAGTGCACACATTTCTAGTGGCAAAAAAGTTTGTCTTCAGTGTCATTTCAGCTTGAATGTCAAAGGGCATTGGGTCCTCCGCTTTCAAAAAGAAGAGACAAAAAGAATCACACATTTCCCCTGTGAAATTCACCCCCGGATCTTAAGGACTAACAATTAATTAACAAAACAAACTAATTTTTTTTTGGACAGCGTCTATCTATATATGCAGGCTGGTTTTAAATTAACTGTGTAGCCCTGGGTGGCCTTCAACTAATAGCTGTCCTCTTGCCTCAGCCTCCCAAATCCTAAGATTACAAGTGCCTACCACCAGACCTGGCAAACAAACTTTAAAACAGTATTAAACCAGTAGACAGTGTTCACCAACTTCAGGGCCGGTGGAAACACAGCTTTCTGGCTGCATGCCAGCTTCTCATGGGAGAGGCTGCAGCTACTGGGCTTGCAGCCACCTGGCGAGGCCACCATTTCTCAGCCATGAACGCACAGGTGGCACCTGGGGACTGTGATAGAATGCAACGTGCACAGGGCGTGCCCGGTTGCAGGCCTGGGGTCCACACTTTGAGGGGCAGGACTCCTGGAGCACATAGCCTCCAGCATCTGTTGTCCAGGGTGCAGGGTGCCCCAGGATTGTCACCTTTCCTTTCCTGGCTTCCTGCTGTTCATAGGCCATAGCTGAGCTGGAGGTGCGGAGGGAGGAAGTCTGTGCTCCCCTAAGGGCCCAGACCTCCTCTGTACAACAGCTCCCCCCACAGTCTTGTCCCTGGCTTGTCTGCTCCACTGGCTTGTAAGGAAGCTGGCTTGTTTCTTTCTTTCTTTCCAGTCCCAGCTCACGCAAGCACAATAACTTTCTAAATCGAGCAGTTGTTAGAATGAGAAATCGCCTCGATTTTGATCTCCAAAGGAGCTGTTTCTTTTTCTTTCTTTCTTTTTTTTTTTGGCCTTTTTCGTTTTTATCGGTACCAGGGATCGAACTCATGACTGCACACTTGCAAGGCAGACGCTTATGCCACTGAGTTAAATCCCCAGCCCCAGTGAGCTGTTTCTTAAAACCTGGCTGGTGTTTATCAACACACATTGGCCTCCTGGAGGCAGGAACCGCTCACTTCCTTTTTTTATGCTAGAGCTATCAAAGCTCTTCAAGCAACAAAGTATAAAATGCTCCCTAGTGCAAGCTCGCGCTAGCTGGGTCTCAGCGACGCATTTCCCGTCCGGAGCAGAACGCTCCTAGCATCTTGAAGGCGTCCTTGATTCACCCGGAAAGCCAAAGCCAAGGGCGATCTTGGAGAGACCCATCGCAGGCAAAATGGTTCTTGGATGAAACAAAGCTGATGACTTAGCAAGGCGTGGTCCCGCTCCCAGGAGGCCAGGGTTCTTGCAAACAGCCTAGGCTGAAAGTTAGGGAGGGCCGGGGCAGCGCACAGGCCCGCACAGGCCACCGAGATCGAAACCGCGCGGCCGGCCCAAGGCGCGTCTCCGGGGCTGCTCCTGCCCTCGCGGCCACTGCAGCGGGCGCCTGCGGCTCACAGCCGGGCCCCCTCGGAGGGCCTCAGGGACATCCGCACCCTGGCTCGGCTCCCTGCACCTACTCTCGAAGGCGATGCCCGCGTTGTTGACCAGCACGTTGAGCCCCCCGTACTCCTTGCGCAGGAAGTCGCGCACAGCTCGGATGCTCTGCAGGTCGTCCACGTCCAGCTGGTGGAAGCGCGGGCTCAGCCCCTCGGCCTGCAGCTGCTGCACCGCCGCCCGGCCCCGTGCCTGGTCCCGCGCCGTGAGTACCACGTCTCCTGGGAACCGCCGGCAGAGCTCCCGGGTGATGGCGAAGCCGATGCCCTTGTTGGCCCCGGTCACCAACGCCACGCGGGTGCAGGACGACATCGCTGGGTGCGCAGCGCTGGGCACCGCGTGGACCGCGGCCTGGGTAGCGGGGGACCGACCAGCGTCAAGGCAGCGGTGCGGAAAGAACTGTGGGAGCCAGGGCTCTGACTCCTAGGGAACCAGGGCCGTGCGGTCCCGCCCCCGGGAGGGGTTGTGTATTCCCGAGGTTCCGCGGGCGCCCCGACTCCGGGCCCGCCTCCTGCGCCCAGCGCCGGTCTAGATCCAACTCCTGGCAGAGCCGAGCTGGCTCCAGAGCTACAGCGGGGCCAGGGACAGTCAGCAAGGGCCCCGACCCCCGGCAGCTGGACGGAAGCATCCATCTGGGGAGAACCCCAAAGAGTGAGGAGCGAGGGCTGAGTAGCTTTCTTGGGCGCGAGCGCACGGTCAGGTGCGAGGCGCCAGCGCTCGCTGTGGCCTGATGCGGGCAGAGACGCCAGAGCGCTGGAACTGGAAGGCGCGCCGCTAGGACACCCAGCAGGTGGGGGGTGGCGGAGACGCTGCACGCCAGGGGTTCCCCGTGCGCCCGCAAGTGGGAGGAGAGGTTCCCGCGCGCCAGACTGCTTAGAGGTTTTTATTAATACTAAAATCGTATCTGTGGGTGCAAGAGGGCACTGCCGTGAATGGAGACGCATCACATGGATGGAGCCAGCACCAAGCCAGGAGCCAGGAGCCATCTGAGTGCCCAGGACAAGGCGCCGGGCTTGTGGGCGTGGCCAGAAGTTAGACCCCGCCCACCTTTCCTTGCTGGAAGCCCAGCGGTTTGGATCCGGGTGTGTTTGATCTGTGACTGAGGTTTGGAGACAATTGTGATCTCATCATGACTCAGTTTTTCCCAAGTGGCCAGACTGCCAGAGCCTCTGCTAATGTGACCCCACCCCATCCAGTCAGCCACAGAGGATAGGAAAGTGTGCTCCTGTCTTTCCTTCTTCATTTCTTAAAGATGTGGGATCACTTGGGCTCTCAGTTTCCTTCGGGGTGAATTGGATTTCATTGACAGAAGGCTCTCCTCATCCCGTTTTTAAGATGGGCCATCACTACGCTGCTCAGGCTGGCCTCAAACTCCTGGGCTCAAGTGATCCTCCTGCCTCAGCCTCCAGAGTAGCTGAAAATATAGACATGTCACTATGTTCAGTTTTTCTTTTCTTGTTTTCTTTTTTCCCCCTTTTTCCCTTCGCTTTGCTCTGTTTGGTTAAAGATTTAACTTTTCCTTGTACATTTTTTTTCTCAAGAAGATTGGTGCAGAGGCACATGCCTGTCATCCCAGCACTCAGGCTGAGGCAGGAGGATCATTCCGAGTTCAAGACCAGCCTGGGCTACAAAGTGAGCACGAAGCCAGCCTGAACTGCATAGTGAGACCCTGTCTCAAAAAAGACAAAAGTAAATAAATAAATCACTTTTTTCTCAAGGAACTAGCTTCTAGTTTTGTGATCTGTTTTTCTCTATTTGTTCCTGACTATATTGATTTCTGTTTCAATCTACCACACCCAGTTTACCCTTGGGCTTTGCTTTCAACTTAGAGGGGTTATTATCCCTTTGTGGCTCCTAAACCATTAGGGTAACAACCCAAGGTTTCCTGGTGTCTTTGGGGTTCCTCTTATTGTCCATAGCTGTTCCAACACCTGCGTCCATCCTGTGACTCTCTGTTAGGTACCCCTTAGGTATCAGGCATCCTCAGATGTGAAGAGACCCTTGGGGTGAGGGCTCCCTGCCCTGCTTCTCACTTCCTGTGTGATCTTGGTCAAGCCCCTAACTTCCCAGTGCCTCAGTTTGCTCATTTGTAAAATGGGCTTAGAGAGAGCTCTTGAGATTGCTGCAAGGGTTGGATGAGCTCATATTAGAAAAGTGCTTTGGGCAGCCCTGTCCCAAGGTGGCACTGGTTACATCACAAGTGGTCACTGTGCTCTGCTATAGAGGAAGACACATGGTCCTTGTTTACAGCTGTTTGTTGATGGCCTCCCTGATAACAGGAAGCTCATTAGCTCTAAGAATGGATGGCAGCATAGCTGGGGCCAGGAATGGTATCCACTGTCTCTCTGGAAGCAAAATGAAGGTCGGGTTCCTGTTTCCCCAGTCCCTGTCACTTTCCTTGTGGCTGGGACGCAATACCTAACACCCACACCTTCTAGGAGGAGAGATTTATTTTGGCTCTTGTTTCAGTGCCTGGCTGGCTGGATCCCAAGGGCAAACAGCACCACAGAGGTCCCCTGGAACTGGTCCTTGGCCTTCTGGATGTAATGGTCTGAAAGCCTGGACTCCATGCCAACCCTGTGCTGGGCTGGGCCACGACCCTATTGGGCTGAGCATCCACAGCAACCCTCCCAGGCTGGTGAGGGGGAGATTTGGGCCCAGAGGCTTTTGGCCCTGTCAGTGGGACCCACATCACTGCTCAAGGTTGGTTTTCATGTTACTTATTTATTTTGAGATAGGATCTTACTATGTGGTTCAGGCTGGCCTTGAATATATGATGATCTTCCTGCCTCAGTCTCCTAAGAGCTGATTATAAGCATGCACTACCATGTCTGGTTTAAAACCTGGTTTTTACAACTCTGAGCTTGAAAAGCATCTTAGAGTCCATGAGAAAAGTCATTCCACCATACATCACTTCCTCAGAGAGCCCCTTGACTCTTATCTGCTGAAATGGGCGGGCCTGAATGACATTGCAAGACCTGTCTCAAAAACCAAACAAAAACAAAACAGGAAGAGAGAGGTAGGCGAGGCCCCTTTTCCCAGGTGGAGAATTGTTGGTGGGGTTTATTTTACAGGGACTGTGCCATGCAGTGAAATGGCCACAGGTCAAGGACATGATTTTAAAAGCATCTCCTGAGGGCCAGGGATCAGCGGCATAAGTGCCTGCCTTGCAAGCGTGTGGTTGTGAGTTTGATCCCGGTATAAACAAACAAACAAACAAAAAACCAAAACAAAAAAAGAAAAGAAAAGCATCTCCTGACCAGGTTGGTGAAGAGGAGAGAAATTATTCAGCAAGATAATAATGATGGCAGCTTCTTATAGGGATGGATTATACCGTTAACATTATCTAAATATTTGAATGCTCTTCACAAGGGCTCTCTGTAAACTTCAGAAACTCTTGTGGGCCCATCCTTGAGAGTTGTATTGTAGAGACTTGCTGCCAGACAGTGCCCCCTTGTTGTGTAGTGGCCACACTTCATGGCATTTGTGTGCTCAGGTCCCCAAAGGGGAGAGAGATGGACCTTTAAGCCAGTACAATCAGTATGGAGACTCCTCAAAAGCACGGAAGTAGACATTCTGTTTGACCCAGCTTTTCCCCTTCTGGGGACCTTCCTGAAAGAGTTGGACATCATATTACAAAGATCCATGCACACCCTTGTTTATAACAACATAACTCATAACAGCTGAGTCTGGAAACAGCCTGCGCGATCATCAGCAGGTGAAAGGATAAAGAAATGTGGTATTTACACACCACAGAGCACTACCCTGCCGTAAATAAGGATAGACTTGAGTCATCTGTAGGAAATGGATGTGCCTTGATACCACAATGTTAAGAGAAATAAATCAGACACACAAGCTTAAATCATGTGATTTCTCTTATGTGAGAGATCCACAGCATAAATAAATAGCAATATAAAAGGTAGATAGTAGGAACCAGGGCAATCATTTAGAAAAGGGAAGGAGATCGGGGAACAGCAAACTCCAGTGTTCCCCTCTGTGTCGACACTGCCTCACTGTGTGTCTGTGTCCTGTCTCCTCTCAGAAGGGCACTAATCACTGGGCTTGGGGCCTTGCCAATCCAGCATGACCTCATCTTTGCTGATTTGATCTGCAAAACCTATCGCCAAAAGGCCACATTTGAGGTTTGCAGGGCCACTTGAATTTTCTTTTTGAGGGAGAGGATCCAGTATTCACCCCACTACATGCTAACAACAGGATTCACCCAGAAGGAGGAACAGGAAACCCATTGGTCCATTCACAAGGCTGCTCTGGAAAATGCTGCCATGGCATCTACTTTGGGAGCAGAGGTAGGGAAATTTGTGGACTCACGAGATTACGGCCACTTCAATACAAACAGAAACAAAAACTGTAAAACTGGGTCTGGTGGTGGAAGTATGCCTGTAATCTCAGCACTCTAGGAGGTTGAGGCAGGAGGATTGCAAGTTCAAATCCCACCTGGTTGCCTTAGTGAGATTCTTTAAAAAATACAGTTTGATAGTGTTGTACACTAACAAAAACAGTGCCATTCTGTTCTGTATGCATGTTACCCTGGTAACTCTGTACTCTGTGTCAACCTTTGTCCTCCTTTGTGAAGGACAGATATTCCTGGAATTAGTTGACCAAAACCTGTAAATTCCTGTAAAGAAGGAACCAGCTGACCACCCACTGTGAAACTTCCCTTAAAACTTTGTCCTCAAGCAAAAAGGGAACAAAGGTCTTCCTCATTCTTGTCCCCTTCCCCTCTTTTTCTTTGTGGTTTCCTCCTATAAAAGCCTGACAAAATTTTAACCTGGTTACACAGCTTTGCAAACTGCTCTGTGTTGCTGGTGCCAGCTTAAATAAAGCACTCCTTTTTCTGTTAAAAGACATCTTGCCCTGTTTTTTGGACAACATCTCGGGGTCTCATTTTTGGGGTACAACAGATGGGAGGAAGGCTCAGTCCAAAGTCCCTGGGTTCAACCTCCAGAGTTGCAGAACCCAGGCTGCAACTGAGTCAAAAAGAACACAGAATCAGAGAACTGGGAAACCTTCCAGTTAGGGGACCAGAGGCAGCTAGGACCCTGGCTTTGTGTGTCCTCTATGAGCAACAGATCAGGAATTTGGTGATTATGGTGCCTCCATAGGATTGAAGTCTGGTGAGGCCTGGGAGTATAGCTCGGCATAGAGCACCTGCCTAGCATCCCGAGTACCACAAAATCAAACCAAACCAAGCCAAAACCCCCTAAAATATAGCCCTCACTCAAACCTGAAAGTAAAATCAAAGTTAATGGAACTTTAGAGCTGCTATGCAAATCCAGTGTCTAATATTTCACCGCTCTTTCATGTCTGCTTATTGTTATGGATGATAAAGAAAGCACTTGTTTTCATCAGAGTCACTGACCTGTCCTCAGTGGACTGCAACGTGCTACATGAAGCAGCAGCACACCTGTGTCAGCAGTGAGATGAAAGAAATCGGGCCAATGTGAGACCCCTCTTCCCTGAGATTTGGCTGAATGATCGCCCCGTGGCCGGTGAGGCCGGAGGGGTGTGTGGGCTCCTACACAACCTACCCAGCTCCAGTTACTAGGTGAAAGGTCCTGCCCAGGCTCTTTAGATCCTGAACAAAAATCGAGCAGAACATCCAAGCAAGGGCTGCAGGGTGATTTATTTGGAAGAGGAGAGGCAGGACCCACTCTCCAGGGCGGGTTGGGGCAGTGGGAGGAGCTCACGGCCCTGCAGGGCGTTGGCATAGAGGGTTTTAAGCTTTGGAGTTTGGGGGAGGATTCCAGGCTGATCTGAGGTGAGACTCCTGCAATGGGCAGCCTGACTCAGCTCCTCTGTGGGGTGGTGTTTTTTTGACCTCGTGTGGCTGTTGGAGGAGCTGTCATGGTGTCAGCAGTCCATGGAGCTCAACCTGGCAAAGCCAGTGGCGTGGTGATTAGGGTTTAGACCCCGGTACGCATGCACCCCTCTCTTGCACCCCTCCCTCCCTGTCCGTGTGTGTGTGTGTGTGTGTCCCCTTACCTCTTCCCATCCTGTTCAGACCTGGCCATCCTGGATCTGAGCCAAGGATTAGCTCGGCGGGTAGGTTCAGTCCTGAGCCAAGCATTAGCCCAGTAGTTCAGTCCCGAAAAGCCGCTCCAAGGCGGCCTCTCTCCCTTCTTTCTCCAGCCTTCACCGTAGCTACCTCCTGCCTTGGCAAGGCGCAGTGAATGGCCAGAGCTGCATGACAGGAGCCCCATGTGCAGTGTGTACCCCAGCTTCCGGCCCCTCTACAGTCTAGTGGGACATCCGCTTGGTCTCCCTGGCTTTCAGCCACAGTGCCTCAGGGAGGCCGGCCTTCTGGAGGCCCGAGGGAGAATGTTTTATACCACTTGCATTCTTGGTGTGTGGTCCCGTGCCCCCCCCCCCCCCCCCCGGGCGCTGAACCTCGGCCTTATCCTGCCCTGCTCTTTAAAAATTCTGGAGACAGGTCTTAAGGAGTCACTAATTCATCCAGGTGGATTGGAATTTTCAGCCCTCCTGCCTCAGCTTCTCAGATTACGGGGATTGCAGGTGTGCACCACCTGCACCAGTTACATCTCTTACCGATTACACTCGAGAAGCCTCTCCATATTAAGGCTTCCTGTGATTGTGCTGGGCCCCTTGATAATTTAGGATAATCTCCATATCTCATGAAGCCTTAACTTTAATCACGGCTTTACAGCCGCACAAGCCAGGAGAAGCATTCCCCAGGGC